GAGAAGAGAAGTAGAGCCGACCAATACTGACGGACCAACTGGCTATGGGGTTGTTACTGCGTGTAGAAATTAAGACAGAGCCTGACGGAGACAATCATTCGCCACAATAACGCGGGAGAGAGTTCACGGAGTATATCTATAGGCGCGTCCCGATCAGCTATTTCTACGTGAAACTCGTCCTGGTCCGATTCGAAGCGTCGAATCGACGCGGGGAGTCCAACCATGTCTACGACTGACCAGGCCAGGAACTAAGTTGCACACCGGAATCCACGCGCGCCTCGACACTGCGCAGTATATGGCCACGCACGCACCACCGCACCATGCACGCACACTCCGCACGCACCAGCACCCATGCAGCACGCACACCAGCACCCAATGCATGCACCTGCACGCACGAACCCAGGGCACGCCCGACGCCAAAGCACGCCATGCACCGTATGCACGCACGCACCCATGCAGCGCCGCACGCAAGCACGCATGCACGCACGCACGCACGCCACCATGAACGCGCCGCACGCAAGCACTCATGCACGACACGCAGCACGCACCCATGCACGGCGCACGCAAGCACTCACCTGCACGCACGCACGCACGCACCAGCCAACGCCGCACGCAAAGACATCATGGCACGCACGCACGCACGCTCATGCACGCCCGCACCCAGCACGCATGCACGCGACGCACGCACGCACCCATGCACGCGCCCGCACGAAGCACTCTATGCACGCACGCCACCTCGCACCCATGCACGACGCAACCCATGCCGCACACCCGCACGCACACACCCATGCACGCACGCACACTCCGCACCCATGCCACGCACGCGACCGAGGCACGCACGCACATCCGCCAACCCATGCAACGCACGCCCGCACCCCTACCGCACGCAAGCACGGCATGCACGCACGCGCACGCACGCACCCAGTGCACGCACGCACCCATGCACGCACGCACGCACGCACCCATGCACGCACGCACGCACGCACCCATGCACGCACGCACCCATGCACGCCCGCACGCCCGCACCCATGCACGCACGCACGCACGCACTCATGCACGCACGCACATCCGCACACATGCACGCACGCACGCACGCACCCATGCACGCCCGCACGCACACCCGCACACATGCACGCACGCACGCCCGCACACATGCACGCACGCACGCACGCACCCATGCACGCACGCACATCCGCACCCATGCATGCACGCCCGCACGCCCGCACCCACGCACCCATGCACGCACGCACACCCGTACACATGCACGCACGCACACCCACACCCATGCACGCACGCAGACCCGCACCCATGCACGCACTACCCCACGCTACGGTACGACGTGTAGATGGCGTGACGATCGCTTACCGGGTGACGTCTTCACTCCGCTGTCGCTACTGCCCTCCTTGTCACTCTTTATGCTCGAGCTGCCCTTCCTCTGCCCCGCAAATTCCAACGACGTGCTGCTATCGTCATCGTTGTCGTCGCCGTATTCGTCGCTATCCTCCGTAACGATTATCTGCTGCTTGAGGGCGTCAGGAGCGTTCACAAGAATGCGTTTTTGTTTCTTGGGGAGCTTCAGACGCGCCTGTTACACGTTATCAGCATGGAATTAAACGTTGCGAGAAATCGGCATATATTTAAACGCCATGAACGTAGAAATAAAACGTCATCAGCGTAGATTTAAACGTCATTACCATAGAGTTAAACGTCATCCGCACAGAATTGAACGTCATTAGTGTAGAATCAAACGTCATCATCGTAGATTTCAGCGTGAATTAGTAATCAGTAATTAGTAATCAGTAATTAGTAATCAGTAATTAGTAATCAGTAATTAGTAATCAGTAATTAGTAATCAGTAATTAGTAATCAGTAATTAGTAATCAGTAATTAGTAATCAGTAATTAGTAATCAGTAATTAGTAATCAGTAATTAGTAATCAGAACAGTTGTTATGAACAAAGTTGAAAAAACATCACCGTCGAAACAGACCGTCCTGCTGTTTATGGTATCGTCTCTATGGTAACAGATGACGGTGACGTGAGTTACCTGCGCATGCGTGTAGTAGAGAGCGAAGTTGTTGACGATGATGGGGACAGGCAGAGCTATCGTCAACACTCCGGCGATAGCGCACATGAATCCAACCAGCATACCTGCGCCGAGAGAGAACGGAGGCCCGTGGACAAAGAGAGCGGGAAAGAGAGGGGGGAAAGAGGGGAAGGGGAAAGAGAGCGGGGGAGAGAGGGGGTTCAGAGAGGGGAA